GTGGTATTAAACCCCAAACCAAAAATGTAATGTATTGCAGCTTCCCAATCATTAGATATGGTACCCACATTAGTTTTCTTTTCTTGGGCTTTGGTCACTCTGTTTTCACCTGCTGATCTGGCCAGTAACACACCTTCCTTATTTGAGTGCCCTTGATCTGGATTAAGGTATCACAGGGGCCACAGCAGACAGCAGCATTATCACCCCGGGGGGAGAGGGAGTGTTAAATGTCCTAGCAAATATAGAGACGACAAGAAATTGAAGCTGAACTCTGAACAGCTCACAGTTTATAATCATTTTTTTTTCCTTTTGGGATAACGGTTTTACATAAATAGACCATTGTAAGCTCCCTTGTCAGTGGTAAGTGGTTTGTGCCATCCCTGTAAATTGATACAGACTGCAAGAGAGCTTGCTCTTTTGAAAAACAACAGACTTAGTCCCCAGTCACATGTCATGCGATCTGATAGTTTCAAAACGCTTGAAAAATCGCACCCTATTGTCCGCAATGGAAGCGGTCATGTCAGTGAGATTCTGACTCGTCTGAGTTGCACTGATTTAGAAAGTATTTAATGCACTGCTTTTTGCAAGTTCGGGTGCATAGTCATCTGTGCAAGTCACACAGATGTCTTTCCAAGTCGCACTGACATCCAACTTTGAAATCGTACAACCTCACTTGAAATCGCACAGTCAAATTTGGTGTGACCGAAGAGTTACTGGCTGGACCACAAGATAAAAATAAATAGAAACCCTAAGAAAGAAAACTAATGCACACATCACATCTAAGAACTGGCAAGCCACAATTAAATAAATGTTTGCTTTTGAGTTTAATACTGTTTTAACACTTAAAAATAATGATGCTTTTCTTTTACTATCTAAAGCAATATTACCACAAATAGTAGTGATTGATAATAGTAATGATTTTACTACAATGTTACTTTGCACTGCTTTTTTGGCACAGCATATTGTATATTCATTAAGTCTAGGTAACATCATGTTAGATCACAATCAGATAATGGTCTTATCTCATTAATCCAGCTAAATAAAAGAAAATTCAAGTTCTAAGAATATTCTGTTTGAATATTGGTAAAGTAGTTAACTGTGTAGTTCCATTCTTTAAATTTGTTTTACAAAACTGAGACAAAATTTCAAATAATTACTGTGTAAGATATTTTGCTGATTTTACATGATACCACATTGTGTCTGTTTTCCTTTTCTTTGCACTAAACAAGTCAGTCCAACCAAAACTGTTGCATTTAATTACATGCCTCCTGAACCACCAACTGGCTTCTAATGTCTGTTGGGAGCTGGCTGGCTGCAAGATCTCTGCATTTGAATTCTTTGATTATTGCACATCTGTTGTGACTGTTTGGAGGAGGTCTCTATTTTTAAGTCCCGTAGAGATGTTAGGAACCTGTGGGTGGTTTTACACCCTGCTGTGTACCGTTTACTGAAATACACGGTTTCAGTATACCAGGTGCACTGACCCTGTAATATTACTAACATTATGCAGTGGCAGCATTAATCATGATACATCAAATAAATATATTCCAGCAAGCTGAAAAATCAACAATGCGTTGATCTTTGTACTGGCTTTATAGTGAACACCTTGGTTGCTAGAGGTGTTTATATTTTTCCTAGAAACAGAATTTAAAGCTTCAGTTTATTTATTTTTTAATCAGCACATGGGACAGTACTTGCATCGAATGCTGGTGACTACTATCTTCATTTAAATCTTTAGTCCTCTGCCCCCCTTTTCCTCTGCATACCCGATTACAGTGGGAATCTTCTGGTGCTCCAGGGGTTAATATGAGTGTTGGATCTGTCATAGGCACTCATCAAGAGTGCAGACTATGCTCTACCCTTCTGCCCTCCTCCTTCATTCATGGAATCTCTACTATCGATTTCAGCAATGAAAAGCCCTCTAATGGATAGAGGATGTGAAGATGAATGAAATGGTCCAGGAGTTCATATTAACTCCCCTTGGAAAGTTAAAAGCCTATTTGCCATTAGTAAATTAACCCTATAGTCTCACCGCTTCCCACCCATAGGACGTACCAGTATGTCCTTAGGTTGAAGTCCAGGGCCATGGCCGGAGCTGCAGTCTTGACCCCGGTATCATTTTCTTTTAACCAGGCTCCAGGCTGAGGATCAGAATCATGTCTATGGTCTAATAAAAACCGGAAGTGCCAAGTAATTTGTCACTACCAATTTTGGTCTGATGTAAACAGGTTGTTACCAGCCTGGGAAAGCTTTTGTTCAAAGTGATCTTAGTTTCCTCAGATGCTTTTCAGGGCAGATGTGAGATCTGAGGTCTAATAGACCCCAGATCTCTTAGTAAAAAGAATCTCTCATGGCCCAGGCTATCTCAGAAAATACTGTTCATCCCTTGTGATAGTAATAAAGTTGATGTAAAAAATAAAGAGTGGTGTGAAAAAATGTTTTAAATAAAATAAGTAATATATTTTTTTTAAAGAGCACCCCCCCCATGCTCGCACAAAAAGGCGAACACATACATAGGTCCCTCACTCATATACTTAGGGTGATCGCACCACACATGTGAGGTATCATTGGGAGCATCAGAGTGAAAGCAATAATTCCAGCACCAGAGCTCCTTTGTAACTGTAAACTGGTAACCTGTAAAGGCTTTTGAAGCCTCGCCTATGGAGATTGTACTGTAATTTAGTGCCATTTCACAGGCATATGCAATTTTAAATCAAGACATATTAGGTATCTATTTACTCAGCATAACATCATGTTATATTTAACCAAATAATTGGGTATTATATTGTGATTTTTGTGCATTACAATTCATTCAAATGTATTTTTTCCCCAAAAAAATTGCATTTGAAAATCTGCTGTGCAAATACCGTGTGACATAAAAAATTGCTACACCCATCATTTTATTCCCCAGAGCCTAATGTTTGGGGGTTCTAAGTAATTTTCTAGCAAAAAACCCCCCTGATTTTTACATTTTTGATGTTTGTGTCACTCACTAAGGTGATTTCTGCTAAGTTTTTATAACTGTGACCCTACAACAATAAATAAAGAGAGTGAAAGTCACCTGTAGGAGAAGACCTTATTCTAAAATCCTATATATAAACTGTATATACTGTACATCTATTCATAAAAATGCATCAAAAGTGTAAATTATTGATGAATAATGAAGTAACTAGTGTCACGATCGCGGCGTCAGACCCCAGACCTTCTCACCAAACTTGTGACCGAAGGACTAGCCGATCTAAAACCGCGATGTCACGTGCGTAACAATGCCACACCCAGCTGTACCCTGCACAACAATTTTCCAGCTGATTGGACCACAATCGATGTACCAGCAGCCTGAACGATTGTTACTGGGTCAGGTTAATTACGCAATTAACCCTTCACACTGCCACCACCTCCTTTTTGTACAGAGAAAGAGGAAACATGGCAATATCAGCTAAAATACTATAATGGTTGAGATAATCGTCTGCATAATACAGTCACCCAGGCCGATTATGCAGAGTTAAACAAACACAGTAGCGTTCTCTTTAGAGGCAGGAATTTGTGGATTGCAATACAGCGCTATAGAAACAGTTCAACACTTTCAGAAAGAAAGATTTATTACTAAAAGATCAAACAGGTGCAATAAAAATATTTACAGAAAAAGATGTAACTAAGATATATATATAAACATACAGAGACCAACTACACAGCAAAGAGATATCAGGGAGAGGTTAAAGAGTTAAGGTACTTGCCAAAGTCCTGGGTTAGCAGATCCAAGTTTCAGAGCAAAAGGGCACAGGTCTCCTCAGGTGGTATTGATGTTAAAATGGGAGACGTCTTCCACTTCGACTCTTAAGCCTGACAGTCTATTTTGTAGTCCCCAGCAGGGGGTGTCTCTGAAGTCAAGGACCAATACCCCGCTTAGGGTGTGGAGGTATGGGTGGACACCTCAACTAGAGCCAAAATCTCCTTTAACTCATATTTTGGCCCATAACTTTCCAGCTGCACAAGTGACATTCCATCCGCGGGTAGATTATTATGCAGACACGTCTGAGGATTGATTAGATATGAATTATGAAATTATACACTGTACGGTTCACGAGATCTACTTTTCTGTTTTCCTATGTATTCGAGACAATGTGGGTGACCTATCAAACTGTTCGCCTTCTCATGGCCAATCTGACGATAGGTCCGGTTTTTATGTAAGTCTCTCATATTCCAAGATATGAGACATAGGGGAGAAATGGATTTTGAAAAGTGTTTATCTGATCCTGTCACCTACACTGAGTTAGGTTTATTAGGTTGGAATCTCTTTCAACTCCTGGGAAAGCTTGCCTTATCTCTTACAAGGTGTTACAATTTGCAGGTTCTTTGGACAGGGAGGCCCCGGCTCCCTTGGGGGGCTTTATAGCTCCTATGATCTTCCTGTGACATTCCCAACTCACACACATACTGGCCAAATGTCGCTGGGCCTCTCTAAGGAGGGAGGAAGAATGAGGGAGAAAAATATATTTGTCAGGATGGTTAATCCCTTTGCCAAGATGGAGGTTGAAGCCAAAATGGTTGAACCGTGTCCATCTCTGGGTATACGCTGTTACAACTAGTTGTATGGGATCTGTAAACTATTCATGTTAACACAAGTTAACACTTGCAATAATTTTGTGAGGAGTAGTGGATTAGACTTCTATGAGTAGAATGAGTTATTAGATGAGGTCCAAGTATACCACTGATCGATCTGCTACGTGTCAGGGGTCAGTGTGTTATATCCGTAGTTTTTTTTTTATTATAATATATATATATATATAAGTTATAATGAAGCATAAAAACACCATTTTATGTGAGCTTTACTATTCAGAAACATTTTTTTCACCAATAATCAAAATAACAGTGAGATGATAGCTTAAGGTATAAATATAACGTACAATGCTTTTAAAATAGAGAATGCCTTTCTCTGGGAATTACGTTCATCTGACTGGAAAGCCTTCTTGTAACAATTTTCTGTTGTGTTTTCTTTGCAGGATTTGATTAATTTTGTGTTCACGGCTGTATCTCCAAAGATGCAGATATTGGAGTGTATGTATATAAGGCAAGCAATTGATCTCCTTCAGGTAATTACATATAGTCCGTTCTTCTCTGAGCATAAGATTGCAAACGAAATATGGACATAAATCCTAGCAATACTACTGCCCCACCAATCACCTTTAATGTTTTCTATATGTTCGGCAATATTGAATATCAATAGCTCTGAGTATTTCATCCGCAAAATATACTGTTTCCCCAATTGTATCCTGAGTTTGCAAAGCACTTGCATAAAAAGTGCCTATATGACACCATCCTTAATTTGACCTTAACCCTGCACATAACTAATCTGGTTTAAGGTTTTTCACCCAGTTACCGTAAATCATTTTCATTTTCAATACTAATTTTATAATAGTTTGATTTTTCTTGAATTCATCTATTGGATTTAACACCTCAAATGCATGTTATTCATTGAGTGTTAGACCATATATAACCATATGCATTTTGAAGGTGCAAAATATATTTGAGGTACAAACAATAATTAAGAAAAAACACAGAAATTTGTAGCGTGCATAAATATATACCCATAAAAGTCAAAAGGCCTAAAAGGTTTAAAAGGTTTTGTAGAACCACCATTTGCTGCAAATACAGCTGTAAAACTCTTGGGGTATGTCTCTATTAGCTTACAACATCTAGCCCAGGGATCTCCAAATTTTTAAAACAAAGGGCCGGTTTATTGTCCTTCAAACTTTAAGAGGGCCGGATTGTGACCAGTGGGGGTAGAGAATGTCAGTATCCATGAAAATAAACATGGGATACTATTCCTACCATTAATACCCATCATTGGTATTAATGGGAGGAAAAATACCCCATCATTGGTATCAGTGTAAGAAATAGTGTCCTTTTGTTGGCATCAGAGGGAGGAATAGTATCTCATATCATTGGGATAAAGGCTAGCAGAGGGCCACATCTGGCCTTCGGGCCGCAGTTTGGTGACCTCTGTTCTAGCCACTGGGATTTTTATCCATTCTGGAAGGCAAAACTGCTCCAGTCAGATGGATTGCGTTATGTACGGCAAACTTCAAGTCATGCCACAGATTCTCAATTGGATTTGGGTTTGGGATTTGACTACCTCTCCAGTGTAGCTTTATCAGTATGTTTAGGGTCATTGTCCTACTGGAAGGTGAACCTCAACCTTAGTCTTAAGTCTCTGGCAGACAGAAATTGATGTCTGGATGGCCAAAAGTTTAGCACCATCTGATTGGAGAACCTTCTTACATGTGTTTGGGGAGTCTGCCACATGTTGTTTGGCATACTCTAAATGTGTATTTATATATTTTTTAGGAAATAACTTTATTCTAGACACTCCTCCATTTTGCCCTGCTCTGTGTATTGTACAACTTAAAGGTGTCCTATGGACAGATTTCCCATCTCTGCTGTGCATCTTTGCAGCTCCTTCAATGTTATAATATCTTTGGTGTTTTTGTTGCATCTCTGATTAATGCCCTTATTGTTTAGTCTGTGAGTTCGATGGACAGCATTCTCTTGTTAGGTTTGTAATGGTACCATGTTTTTTCTGTTTTGTAATAATGGATTTAATGGTGCTCCATGAGATATTGAAAGTTTGGAATATTTTTAGTTTTAATCCAATCCTGATCTATACTTCTCCAAAACTTTGTCTCTGGCTTGTTTGAAGAGCTCCTTTCAGAAAAGGTGTATTGAAATAATGTGACAGATCATGTGACACTTTGATTACTCACAAGTGGACCTTATGTGATCATCTAATTATAGGACTTCTGAAGGTAATTGGTTTGACCACGCCTTATTGAGGGGTTTTATAGCAAAAGGGTGAATACTTACGTACACTCAAATATTTATTTATTCGTTATAATTATTGTTTGTGTCATAAAAAATATTTTGCATCTTAAACTTCAATTCCAAGTCCCACTCTTTTACATGATATTGAATTATCAATGACTGATGGTTCGTTAAAGTTGTCATTTATGACTCCTTCATATTTTATTGATGTCCTATCTTCTTCTAGGGTCTTCTTTCTGATAAGGAGGAAAAGCAACCTAGCCAGGAACACCTGGCTCGATTATTTGTCTTTGCATTGATGTGGTCAATAGGTGCATTGCTGGAGCTTGAGGATCGTATGAAGATGGAAATATTCATGCGTGATCACTCTGCCCCTCTTGAGCTTCCTGCTGTTAAAGGAGATGAAACCATTTTTGAATTTGTCATTAATGAGAATGGTCAATGGGAGCACTGGTCCAAAAGGGTATGTAAATATCAATGAACCATGTTTAGGCTGTACAGTCTATATCAGTATGTGTAGCCTCCTATATAAAGCCCAGGCTATATAGTCTCAGTCTGTATGGACATCTATGAAAAGAAAGCTTGTATGTTTTGGTTTTCATAGAATAGTTCTGGTTCTCGATACTATATATAAGTTTACAATGCTGTTCTTTCCATAGTTTTTATAAAACAAATTTGACATATGTTTATTTCTGGCATTAATAAAAGTAGATGCCAATGTTTGGCATTGATGCTTTAATTGTGGAATCTTTTTCCTGACACAGTACTTACCTGTATAATTAATATTCTGTTTAGACCTGCATGTTCATTTCAGTTGCATTAAGAAGTATCTAGCTTGACATAATGAGCAGTGTTGAGATGAACATCGTTGGGTTCGGTTCACAGGACGTCTGCTGAAGTGCATCAAAGTTTAAATGTTTATTTGAACTCCATTGAAGACACATCTTTAAAATCAGTTTATTAAGGCATGGCTTTGTCAAACAAAGGGCATGGGGAGACGAGCACTGCCCTGTGACACATGTACCAATGCAAAATATTACTTAAATATTCCATTCATCAGGGAGCAACTCTTTTATTACTGCTTAAAGTGAAATTTTAATTGGTTTTATTTTTATTCCTTAAATAACATGGGATTACTTGGGGATGCTCTACACTGGCTTGTGAAGTGGCACACCTGTAGGATGTACTACAGCAAAAAAACTCACAGATCTAACAAAGGGCATGGATTACATGTACCAATGCAAAAAAAAAAAATTAAATTTAACGGAAAAATGTTCTTTTAATAATAGTTTACGTAAGATGTCAAAAATGCAAAATTCTATAAAGTGGCATACCTATGCAGTGTGTACAATGTATTACAGCAAACCTGATGGTTACGGAGAAAACAAAATATAATTTAAATTGAAATTATATTTCCCAGCCACTTCATTGTGTTTTTTAAACAAAGTAGATGGCGATTCCCTTCATTCATAGAAGACATTTATCCTACATGAGAGTCTGAAATAAATGGTAAGGGGGCATATGATTCCTCCCAAAAGCTATACCAGTCCCTTATCTGAGCATACAGCTGGCTTGGAAGGACAGGGAACAGTAAGTTTGCACTTGAACCATACCAGGCCACATGCCCTAAGCATATGGAGGGTACCTTGCCAGGTGGGACCCCTCTGGCAAAGCACCTTGGCCTCTTCTTGATGAGGGCAAGGTTCTTTTCTCCACAACCTTGGCCTGGTGGTTGTGTGGGGTCTGTTGTTGGGGGGGGGGGAGAATCTGCAAGGCCAAATATACTGCCCCTCTATGTGAATAAGTAAGGTTACTCATTCACAAAAGAACATTAAAGAGTAAATTAAAGGAGAACTATAGGCAAAAGGAAGGGTTATAACCTCTGTCAGATTTTTTTTTTCACCATTTGTGTCCCATTGCAGAGATTACCCTTCACTTCCTGTTCCATAGTGAACCAGGAAGTGAGAGGAAATCCCTGCAAATTAAGGTAATCCCTTGAGGACCCCCAGGTCGAATAGTGTCCCTACTGGAAGATTTAACTTTTCTAAGGAAAACCTAAAACTTTTCTTTCATTTTTAATAAGAATGGTAAACAGGACAAATAGAGAGGTTGAAGCTGCTTAACAAGGCCACAGACAGCAATAAAAACTGACAAGCGTTCTAATCCCTCTCCACTCCATACAAAATTTTAAAAAATGTGCCTTTAGTTATACTTTAACAAACTGACACATTTAACTTTTATCCCTTGTTTAAAAAAAAACAATTATTGATTAATTTATATTTCTACAGCACTTTTCTCCCTGTGGACTCAAATTGCTTTTATCTGCTGTTGGGTCAGATGGTGAGGGAGCCATCTTGGCTGTGCTCAGTAGCATGTCATACTAAGGCCAATTTTAGATCCAATGTCCCACAATGTAAATTCATTTTCAATCACATAATTCAGTGATGTAGATCCTTTGCTAACCATAATGAATGCTGCCTGCCAACCCACTGACACAAAAACACAATCCACTTGCCCTGAATTACATTTCCCAAGAAGACAGTTTGAATGTAAACAAAGTGGCAAGGATGCTGGCTGACATCACTGAGCAAATATGGCCATGACAAGGCACTACGTGATTTTAATTATCACCGTAATCAGCCACAGAACCTGTGTAATCAATATTTGTTTGGTTTTAGAGGGATGAGGTGGCAACCTTAACAATGTAGTAGGTAACAGTTTTGTTTTTTATTTCATTTAGTAGTAGCTGATGTTTTGTCATGCTGGTAGTCTATCTTGCCGTAATACTTGATTTATTGATTTTTTACCTGCTCAACAGAGACATTTCATAAATAAGTACAGAAGTAACCAAAATAACCACATACATATATACTGTACTTTGTTTTTCAAACAGGTTCCTGAATATATTTATCCAAAAGATTCCATACCAGAATACACCTCAATCCTAGTTCCAAATGTTGACAATGTTCGTACAGATTTCTTAATGCACACCATTATGAAACAAGGAAGAGCAGTTTTACTGATTGGTGAACAGGGCACAGCAAAGACAGTTATGATCAAGGTGAGTAAATATCATTTATTGTGGTGAATTCTGGTGCAAGATAGAGAACTGCTAAAATGTGGAATTCTTCTGCTAGAACCTATACACTTCCTATGTTGTGTGCCTTATGCTATGTATTACCCTTGTATCTACACAGAAAATGCTATAAATCAAATTAAAATTTGCATAAAAGGAAAAGAAATCATCTTGGAAATATAAAATAGGTCACACAATTATTTTCTTGAATTATGTTAGTTAAATACTTGTAACATTTAGTTAGTTAAAGTACTGTGTATCATGCACATACTTACTGTATATCAGTGCCCTTTTTTTACTTAATAAATACCATTTTCACCTTTTTTCATCCTTTGGTGCATCTTAGTGCTGCTGGTCTCCTTACAATCACTTTCTGTCTACATACATGCACTCCAGTGATGGCATTTATTGAGGGTGGGGGTGTGTGTGTCTGAAGATGACCACAGTAGACGATGTCTGTGTAATGTATATTCAAATGGTCACTTGTAGTCTTCATTAGGAGCCTGAGTTAAAGGGTGACAATGTAAGAGCACAATTGGGAAACAGGGTCAATGTCTTGTCACATGACGTTCCTGAAGAAGGACCTACTTGGCAGGATGACCAGGTATTGTTGTATTGACATCTTCAGATTTAAATTATCAAACATCTGAAATTACATTAACATGTTAAAATGTAAATCTAAAATTTATTTTTCAGTATATTGACTGTTCAGTTTACTGTTGGGCTACCTTTCAGGTCTGTGCATGCCAACCACAGACCTGACTGGCAGCCCAACTACTGACTAAAGGATTGCACATGGCAGACTGACTACGTTGAGGATAATTGAAAGGTAGTGGTTTCCTGTTGTCAGTCTGAAACAGGAAGTGCTGTTGCTGTCATGATATCCAGGCAATAAGCAATTTGCTTAAAAATCTTTATACCTACATTTTTCTTTCTTATTTTAATAATGCTATATTTTTTTTTTTCATTGTCTTGAATTTATAACATGAAACATATAACCTTTTCAGCTGCAAACAGAAAACACAAAAAGAACAACACCGTATGAGTTGTTATATCTATTTTTACCTTAGGACGTAGTTAGTAAGCAGTATGTTTTTGTTATAGTTCCTAAGAGATATATTTTTGCTGTTCTATTAGTTGTTATTTTGTGTAAACCAACTTCCTTTTAGATTTAGTATTTATCATTTATAACTAACTGGCATTGCTCCCATTTAGGCATTTGTCTTGCAGCATAATGAAAAGTTTTACTTGAAACAAACTGCTGTTGTTGGAGTCTGGCACAAAAAGAACCACTGGAAACAATCCATAGCATTGTGATATTCCAAAAATATATCTGAAAACCATCTGCCATAAATTTGTTTCTGGGGGAAAGAGATATCAGTTAACTAGCCCTGCTTCACTTTATTACTAAATTGCCACCTCTTTTTTTGCTGAAAGTCATGCCAAACCTTAAACAGGATTTAATATTATTTCTCAGATGACTTTGTTTTAAAATTTTAATGTTGTGTTTGTGTCTTCACAAAGGGCTACATGAGTAAATATGACCCAGAATTTCATATCACCAAGTCATTGAACTTCTCTTCTGCAACCCTTCCCAACATGTTCCAGAGGAGTATTGAGAGTTATATTGACAAAAGAATGGGAACAACATATGGCCCTCCAGCAGGAAAGAAAATGACAGTTTTTATTGATGATATCAATATGCCCGTAATTAATGAGTGGGGTGATCAGGTAAGAAAAACTGTATGTGGTCACTTAGTAGACATCCTTATTTGAATACAATTTTTTTTTTACTTTTTTCTATTTCAATAATTTTTATTAAGTAAGAGTTTTTTTACTCATAAGAAGACGTACAGAGTGTATGCAGAAGTATCCATACCTTAAAAAAAAAAAGGTAGACTACTTGTTACCTAATCAGAGAGAATAACATTATATAGATGTGGAATTAGAGGAGGAGCCTGTGCCATTGGCTAATGTGATAGATCAGTTAAACATCAAAGATAAACATACAGCATAAAGAAAGCAGTGTTAGCCCCTCTATACTAGGACTAATGCAAAAAATGTATAATAGCCCTTCTCCATTCGGGGGACAGAAACATGTGTATGGATGCTCAATTTCAATAATTTTCCAAGAAAGAAATAGAAGAAGTATAAGAAGAATGTGAATGCATTCACATTCTTCAGGTACCATTGAGGGCACTAGCCCATACTTCCTGAGGACGTGAAGATCGCGACATGCATTGAGGTCCGAGCCGCAAACATCACTTCCAGTTTCCCTTTGATGTGATATCCGGTGTTTGGAATGCACGCCGGACGTGGACAGAATGGTGGTATGTGAGAAGAGATCCCCCTAGTGACCCTTATGGGTTGGTTCCCCCGATTGTACCTGAAGAAAGTGAGTGCATTCAGTATGCTTTTAATACACACTTTTTAATAAAGATGGTTGCCCTATGATTGTTTATCTGGGCTTTTTGAGAGATTGGTTCTGAGGAAGGAGGAGATGGTTTAACACTGCCCAAAGTGGAGGGGTTTGAAAGAGAAATTATTATTATACAGTATTTTATATAGCGCCAAAGGGTATGCTCAGCGCTGTACAGTAGCAAGGGGGACAGAACATGAGACAAGACAGTAACAATACACTACACGAGGGGTTCGAGGGATCTGCTCTTTCAAGCTTACAATCTAGGAGGGAGGGGAAGGTGGTACAGGAGGAGATGGCTGTGGGGGATGGAGTGGTGGGAGGAGTGGAGGAGGTTAGTTGTTAGGTGAGGTCGGGTGTTAGGTGAGGTTGGGGTAGGCATCCCTGAAGAGGAGGGTTTTCAGGGAGCGCCATCATAAGGTAGCTACCCACCTAATTGATACAACATTTGATTTTGCAAGCCTGCTAGCTACTTTGTTAGTTGATGTGTTTCGGTGAGAGCATTAGTTGACTATACACATTGGTGGAACATGGTTAGCATTAGAAGAAAGAGATTGAGCCAATTGATTGAGCTGTCTACTGGCAAACAGTGCTTGGGGACGTTTTGACACACCTTCTTTTGTCTTGGACTTTTCATCTCACAAAAAATTGTGTTTCTTGCACTATTAGCAATAATAAGGTGATATTGTCGCACATTTGGCAAATAAGTCTTACTGGACATTGTTGTTAAATTTACCATTATTTATTTGCACATTTGGCAAATACGTTTTTATTGGATATTGTTGTTAAAATCACCATTATTTATTTATTTATTTTATGCAATATGTATTAGATGGTATGGTAATAACAGGGTCATTGCTCACTTTTATTTTTGTTTATCATTATACAGGTATGTTTACATTTGGCCACTGATAAGTCTAAATAATAAAGTAACAAATTGCACTAGTGAAAAAAAAAATTATAAAATATTACACAATTATTATCATGAAAAAGAAAAAAATTGTCACATAAATAATAAATATAAATCATAAAAGAAAAGAGTCCCAAAAAATCTTCAATGATGCAATTGGTGAAAAAAAATATATATTGAAACGAAATCCACCAAATGTGTCAATCCACCACCAAATAAAATGAATAAACTCACCAGAGCTATATGCTGATAATGTTATAAATCAGCATAAAATGCTTTTTGCTCTTGGAGTAATGATCTGCAGACTGATGAGACAATGCTTGACTTGGAAATCGATATCCAGGGAGCAATACTCTGCAATAGGATGTACCACTAAATAGATCCACTTCATATAGACACCACCATATCCATAGGATGTTTGAACAGCCACTCGGAAAGAAAACAGAAGCTCATGGTGCAGTACCTCTTAAAATCTCGCTTTTAATAAAACATATAACTAGAGATGAGCGAATCGAACTTGGCGAAGTGTAATTCGTTTCGAATATTAGGAAAAATTTGATTCGCACCGAATCCGAATTTTAGCAAACTTCGGACGCACGAATCGAATTTTCCCCGATCAGCCGGCAAAAGTGTCACTGCAGAGAGCTCCGCTATTTCTGACAGTTCTCTGACAGTTCCTTCACATTTACAGCGATTGAAACATTGTATCTATTTGTTTCCATTTAGGATACAGATGTTTTTATTCGGAAATAAATAGATACAATGTTTCAACCGCTGTAAATGTGAAGGAACTGTCAGAGAACTGTCAGAAATAGCGGAGCTCTCTGCAGATACACTTTTTGCTGTACTGGAATTCTTCTTCTTTTCATTCTTCTTCTTCTTTTCATTCTTCTTCTTCTTCTTCTTCTTTTCATTCTTCTTCTTCTTTTCTTCTTCTTTTCATTCTTCTTTCTTCTTTCTTTTCATTCTTCTTCTTCTTCTTTTCATTCTTCTTCTTCTTCTTTTCATTCTTCTTTTCATTCTTCTTCTTCTTCTTTTCATTCTTCTTCTTCTTCTTTTCATTCTTCTTTTCATTCTTCTTCTTCTTTTCATTCTTCTTCTTCTTTTCATTCTTCTTTTCATTCTTCTCATTCTTCTTTTCATTCTTCTTTTCATTCATATTCTTCTTCTTCTTCTTCTTTTCATTCTTCTTCTTCTTCTTTTCATTCTTCTTCTCATTCTTCTTTTCATTCTTCTTCTTCTTCTTTTCATTCTTCTTCTTCTTCTTTTCATTCTTCTTTCATTCTTCTTCTTCTTTTCATTCTTCTTCTTCTTCTTTTCATTCTTCTTTTCATTCTTCTTCTTCTTCTTTTCATTCTTCTTCTTCTTCTTTTCATTCTTCTTTGCATTCTTCTTTTCATTCTTCTTTGCATTCTTCTTTTCATTCTTCTTTGCATTCTTCTTTTCATTCTTCTTTGCATTCTTCTTTTCATTCTTCTTCTTCTTCTTTTCATTCTTCTGCTTCTTCTTTTCATTCTTCTTCTTTTCATTCTTCTTTTCATTCTTCTTTTCATTCTTCTTCTTCTTCTTTTCATTCTTCTTCTTCTTCTTCTTTTCATTCTTCTTCTTCTTCTTCTTTTCATTCTTCTTTTCATTCTTCTTCTTCTTCTTTTCATTCTTCTTCTTCTTCTTTTCATTCTTCTTCTTCTTCTTTTCATTCTTCGTTTCATTCTTCTTCTTCTTTTCATTCTTCTTCTTCTTCTTTTCATTCTTCTTTTCATTCTACTTTTCATTCTTCTTTTCATTCTTATTCTCATTCTTCTTTTCATTCTTCTTCTTCTTCTTTTCATTCTTCTTCTTCTTTTCATTCTTCTTTTCATTCTTCTCATTCTTCTTTTCATTCTTCTTTTCATTCTTCTTCTCATTCTTCTTTTCATTCTTCTTCTTCTTCTTTTCATTCTTCTTCTTCTTCTTTTCATTCTTCTTCTTCTCATTCTTCTTCATCTTCTTTTCATTCTTCTTCTTCTTTTCATTCTTCTTTTCATTCTTCTTCTTCTTCTTCTTCGTCGTGCCCCGTGACTGCCCAAATGAGTGAAGTGTGCGGTGATTCTAAGATCGACGGCACTCATCTGCATGTCATACTGACTGACAGTATTATTTCTCTTCCCAGCAGACTCCAAGGGCATTTAAATTAAAGGTACAGTGTTCTGCACTAATATAAAGGCTCTCTGAAGCCTAGAAACCCTTTTAATAAGTTAAATTCGCAGCGAATAAATTCGCATCGAATCGAATTTCTCCCGCAAATTCGGCGAATCAGCCGAATCGAATTTTTGAATAATTCGCTCATCTCTACATATCACACTTACAAAAAAAACGGTGTCCTAGCCGACACCAGCATCAACAGCATAATCAGATCACACAAAACGAACCCAGCCGCCTTGCACATGCGCCGCACCGACCTCTGGGAACGTAGTGACGTCACATCAGTGACAGTGGCACTTCGTGCAATTTGTATAGCATTAGCAGAATGCATTTTACATTGTAAATTAATTTAATCCATTACACTCATGTTGCATCAAAAGGTAGAGAAGATCGCTTACAGAAAAAAATGTGATGCTCTGATGTCCTGTAGTTTATTTGCCAAAAATCTCTAGGATTTGTTTTCTCTCTCGTAGGAAAACTTATTTTGCACACTGAATTGATTTCTTAGTATGATCAGATTGTAGAGTGAGAAGCAGGGTAAGACTATTGTGGATCTCAGAAGCTAGTTTGTATTTGTGCTACTCATTTAGTTAGGTAAAATTAGTGAGAGCATTTTGCATTTGTTGGGATTTTTCTCTTTTGTGAGAGGGTATGGAGGTAGCTTACCTCACCTTGAAGCATTGTGCATCTACCAGACCCTAGTGAAATCAGAAACTCACATTCATGTTGACTGTAAAATATCCCTTAAGGAATGAGGACAAGTTTGAGGTAAAAGTCAAATCCCAAAGCAAGGGAAAAGTAAAAAAAATGCTGTACATTTTTGCATTACATGCAAAATTCCTGTTTTATTCCTTTAAATATCCCACAAGTGCAGAATATTATTTGGATACACTCCAAATCATTTTTGTGGACTGAATTTGCAAGACGTAGAACGTTTTCAGCACATTCGAATGTTATTCGAAAGATTTTGTTTGCTTTTAATATTTGGTTTTGGAATGAATGGACTTTACCAAACAAATATCACATCTACCATATATGTTAGAAATGTGTTTGTTTGTGAGGTTTCCATCCTGGTCCTTTGAATTTTCTCATCACTGCAGTCTAAAACAAACTTCAAATTGACACACTAATGAATATAAAAATGAACAAATTTACTTAGAACGTTTTTTCCTAAGAATTTTTGTTCGAAATTCTACCCATCTATGGCCAGCTTTAATGTCA